CCCCCCTTCCCCCTCCCTGGCCCCTCCCCCTGTGTCTGCACACACATACAACTGCATGTTTATTGTGTGCATATGACCATGCAGGCGAACTCCAAGCCACTAGAATTTCCCCTCCCCCTCTCACTCTCCCATGTCCTTTCCTCCTCTCCATTCTTACCACTTCTTGTCTGGCCTCCTATGATTCTTCAAAGCGCGTGTGCATGCAAACACAGTAGTATTACAGGAATGCACTGGGATGTTTTGCAGCACAGCTACAGCAATACTGAAGACATGCGCTGACATAATTCGCAGCCAGTTCTCGTCCGATCATTCTTGCAATCCAAAGTCTGCGACGTTGCAGACGTGTGCTGGCGTGTTTGCAGCACAGCCACAGGACCTGCAGCATGAGGCGAAAATGTGCTCACTGCCGCCGCACAGCTTTCGAGTGCTGCATCGAAGAGCTTGAACACGAAGAAGCTCCACAGCAATTGAAAAACTTCCGGAAGAAGTGTTCATCACGAGGTCACCCGGAATAACTCTTTGTGGGAAAAGCAAAATTGAAGCAAAGCTGCAAAGAACTTGTTTGTTGAGGTGAGCGTCAAGAGAGCAGGCAGAGGAGGCGACTCAAAAACTGGCGGTGCGAGAGTGCGCGCAGAGCAATTGCAGCAAGGACTCAAGAACCGCACACAGAAATAGATCAAGCACAGAACAAAGACCACGGTGGTGAGGATCGCATGTAACCCGCCGGGAAGCGGGGGGGAAATGAGAGAGAGAGAGAGAGAGARAGAGAGAGAGAGAGAGAGAGAGAGAGAGAGAGAGAGAGAGAGAGAGAGAGAGAGAGAGAGAGAGAGAGTTGATCMCACTCGTGTATCGCGAGGTMCWCGGWATCGWKGWGGGCCAGGGAGAGGTCGCTGCTCTCACCACTAGTACTCGGAGCCAGGTATCTCGGTGCAATTGCCCAAATTTGACGGCTTCCGGTGGCTTATAACCTTCAGTGGTGCTACAGACATGGGTAGCGCCAAAATGCTCCTCCGGCTAGCTGAGAGGCCGAGGTCGCCAAGCCCATTCTCCCCACTGCTGTTGCCAAACTTCTCTCGGGCCATGAATCGCGGACCGCTTACGGATTCGAAACTAAACTTACTGAAGAACTCCTGCTCGTTGCTTGACGCCAGAACCCAGCAATCGACATCCGCCACCATGTGGTACGCCATCGCAGTGCTCACCAACCACTTCCCTAGGCCTTTGTGACGATGCTCTTCCAAGATGTAAAGATCGCTGAGCCAAGCAAATCGTACGTAGTCTGAGACCACCCGTACGAACCCCACCTGCTGGCCGTCCGGACCGTACAGCCCAAAGGAAAGCGAGTTGTTGATCGACTCGCGCAACCTGTCACTGTTTTCAACACACGAAACAATTGACACACACAATGCGATAAAAAAAAGAGCGGATTCAGAATGGCCGGGGGGCCGGGGCATAATTCACAGTCAAATTCCCTAAAACCTTGGTTCTCCATGTCATTACCAACTGGCTTACATTTCCCAAACACGCGAAAACAAAACACGTCAAGTACCAGATCAAGATCTTCCCGCCGGGATCCGGCAAGCCCTAGGCTGCCTGCACCCAGGTCCAGACGACTGGGTTGCGAGATGCGGAAGCGGCGCTACTGCTGCTGCTTGTTCGTTAAGGCAACTTGGGCCCTGTGCGCCTGAAGAAGGAGAGGGCGCCTGTGAGATACTCCATAGCTAGGATAGACTTAGAGCAGGAAGACGGCGGCCATAGCCAGCAAGGTGTAAGCTGCCTGAGTGGGTGTATCCAGGGTAACGGTCCAGGGTAGGGAGAGAGAGAGACGAGCGAGCATACATCAATGAACAACATTCACATGCGAGTTCACGCTTTTCTCAGTTGCAAGATGCGGAAGCGGCGCTGCTGCTGCTGCTTGTGCGTTAAGGCAACTTGGGCACTGTGCGCCTGAAGAAGGGCGCCTGAAGAAGGGCGCCTGTGAGATACTCCATAGCTAGGATAGACTTAGAGCAGGAAGACGACGGCCATAGCCACCAAGGTGTAAGCTGCCTGAGTGGGTGTATCCAGGGTAACGATCAAGGGTAGAGAGAGAGAGAGACGAGCGAGCCTGCGGCAGAGCGAGTCAAG